TGTGCAGCATATTGTCTGACTCATTTATCTATATTAGTCGAAGTAAAATCTGATGTACTAGGTTTAAAATTTAATAAAATGCGTTAAGTCTGCAAAGACTGCCTAGCAGGTTTAAATTTCTATGTATTTATTCCAAACGTAAAAATCATCGAAATTGTCGTACCGTCAATATGATACATAGGAGGGTTAAATATCCGGAATCAACTTACACCAGCATAATCTGACACAGTTACGCACGTATGTACATGGAGGCTATATTTTATCTTAATATTTTATTTAATTTAAACTAATTTATAAATGATAATCATATGAAATCTATTTAGCCCTATGACTAGAAAAAGTTGTGAAATAAATCAAATATCAATATCAAAGAAAAACTATTAATGCTTTTAAGATCGCTACTCAAATAATAACTATATTAAATTATTAACCGTGCTCGTATATTCGAGGCATGTGGCCTGATTTCCGAGTCTTTTTAGGTAACCTTTGCCCCTACAGAATTTCGACCTTCTTGGAAATTAATTGGATGAAATTATTTCGTCTTCATTTCCGTCTTAATGTCCTGCACAAATATTATTAACATTATGATATGCTAATGGTATTCAATTACAATTATATATTTCTGGAGAAGCTGTCATGCTTACCTCGAATATTTGCCCTCCTGCTCGAATATCTTCAATTTATGATCCTATTTTTATTTCAAACTTAAGGGGGTGGTTCAAAAGGGCCTTGGTACTTATAGCATATGGTTGACCCTTTTACCGCTGGTTCTTGGGTATGGAAATGCCTAAAATTACCAACTCACATGCATTAATTGGTAAAAATATTTATAAATGAAACTGGTTAGCCATAAACCATGTCATTGCACACAATCATCATTTTGATATTACACTTAATTTTTGCAATTGGTTCTGATTCACGCACAAACCAGTCGGCCAAATGAGTCCATTCTTGTTGCATAATGCAGAAAAACTGCTTATGGAGGTCAAGAAGTCAGTGTGAAAAATTATAACAACTTTGGAAGGCTAAAATAATACGAAATGTGCGTCAAAAATTGTATCACCGACAGATTTATTTTTTTTACCAATCCCTTCATAGTCTCTCGACCTTCTATAAGACTTCTTGACCTCGACCAGACCCTAACCAATTTCTTAGAATTTACAAATCCACAATTCATCAATTATCCATTTCAGGAATGCTGACCAAAGTTTAAAAATACGTTTTGTGGGAGTGTCGTTGTTAAGTTGAAAAGGTGAGAAGAGAGAGAACATAATTTTGATCTCAAAAGTAGGGAAATTCGCATTTCGCAAAGTATTCTTTTCTCAAAAGTTTTTCTAAAATGGGGAACAAAAAACTGGGTAGGCGGAAAGCAATGTCAAGGCGAATTAGATTTCGTGGTCAGAAATTGTGACAAGCTACGGCACCTCCATCGCTGGTTCCTGAAGCCGTGCGTGTGATTATCTCCACTATTGCACTCCAAAACCTTATTAGTCTTGTCCTCATTCATTCATCTCATTCAAGTAATTGCAAAAATCCTAATTTTATTGTCGATGGGACAAAATCTAAACTATTGCGTGTTTCGTGCTCATCATGTGGCGTTCAACTGAAAGCCAGAAAGGACAACGTCTCTTCCCACAACCTTTCTATTGCCGATGGATTTGCGGTCGGAGCATTATCTGCGGGGATAGGATATTCTGTTTTAAGAAAACTGCTTATTACTTGAAAGTCCTATCATCGCTATAAATACATGTTTGGCAGTTGAGGAGAAAGTTGGAATCCATATGGAAAAAGAGATGCATTTGTCATTTAAGAAAAATGGAGAAGAGGAACGGCGGTTGGCAGTTGAAGCGGGTGACATTATTATAATTGACGGTGTTGATAATCCCTTCATAAATGTAACGGTGGATGCGGGATGGGCCAAAAGGTCCAACTCCAATGCACCCGTAGCAGTGATAATTGGTAAAATTCAATAGAAACAGACCTGTATGTGTATGTGTATGCATGTACACACTTACATGATCAATTTTTAGGATCTCGGACAAAGAAAATCTTATGGATGGACCCTAGAATAAAAACGTGTGTAATATGCGATCGAATATCTAATCATGAGGCATCACCATCTGATCATCACTGTTACAAGAACCGGAACGATTCATCCCAGGCGATGGAGGCGGATATTATTGTGGATGGGTTCCGAAGGAGTTTGATGGACCATGGTCTCATCTACCGTTACATGGTTGGAGATGCTGACTCGTCGGCAAAGGTCCAATCACAAGTAGTGTACCCTGGGCGAATTCCAGTCTAGAAAATTGATTGTGTCAATCACGCTGTAAGAGGACTTAACTCTAAATTGTACAATATCATCAACTGTACGAGTTATCTCAAGCAACACCGCGACATGGTCAAGGCAGTCATAAATCGGTAATCAATATGCAAATCAACTTAATATGACTTAAATTACCCTCATTGTTACGTTTGTGCTATAGATTTGGGAAAGATGTGAAGTCTGCGATATCATACAACTGTCAGAATCGGTCCAGCGCCTCCAATCCAACAATCCAAATGACGCTGGCTCAGGACATAATAAATATTCCTGCTCATGTTCTTGGACATCACGTACATTGCAAATCATACTTCTGCAAATCAAAAGGGTTTAGTTCGGACTTATTTGAAAACTTTGCTCAGAGTGCAGCAGATAAAGAACATACCCAGAGTTTTCACAGACTATATAACAGGTCGCAGCGATTTATTTACAATGTTACCAGCAACTTAGCGTTATGAGCAAATATATAGCAGGAAAAGGATAAATTATGCTCAGCGAGGAAGTTATGCCAGACGGACATTCTCTGCTACATTGGCGTACGATTATGGACCATTTTGGTTACCTCAAGTATTTACCAAGAGCAAAAATAAATTGTGGGTCGAGGAAAGTCAACGAATGCTAAAAACGCGAGTAAGAACTGAAAGGCACAGAAACACAGAAAGGCATGGACCGTTCAACTTCAGTAAAACTACCAAAAAAGCAAAGCTCAAATACGGACCAAATGCATTTCAAGGTAAAATGAATGATGAAGAGTTGGCTCCTGCAATCAATATTCTCATCCAATCGTTGAACAAACCGGACGACGAACGAGCGGATCTTGAAAGGGCGACTGTTGGGTAGAGTTTCAATGAAGAGTGGAAGTACCAGAGACGTAATCGGATCATTGAAAGTAATGCCGGACGAATATATTCACTGCAGAACTGCACCAGTAATGTTTCAATACTGAAGTCCATATTGTACCCCACTGATATATCTACAAATGAGAATATTCGATATGGGATAAATTTGGAACCGGAAGCCAAGCGAATGTACACATTTCTCATCGGTGTCGATGTTGAAGAATGTGGTCTGTTCGTGTCGTCTGAAAATGGAATTTTAGCAGCGTCCCCAGATGGTAAAATTGGCCAAGATGGAATTTTAGAGATCAAGGGTATAATTTACCCTCCTGAACAAGTACCACAGCGTGCTGACAAGTTCCTAATTTATAAGAACCCAAATGATCCAAAGGAAGGACTTCTGTTGAAACGGACCCACAAATACTATTATCAGTTTTTAATGCAACTTCATGTCAATGGGAAGAGATTTTCTGACCTTTTCGTGTATCACAAACCCATCAAGAAAGAATATACAAAAGTGGAACTGAGACGGAATAGAACAAGGTGAAAGAGAAATTGGTCATGTTTTTAAGTCAGAGATGGCTCCAGAAGTTTGTGACCCTATTTTCAATTCGTGTTGTACTTTTCGAATCCCGGAGTACCGACGTAAAGCAATCGAAGAGAAAAGGGGACGATCTACGATCAAGATTTCTTTGCCAAAATGATTTTTTTATATTATAAGCACTTGTAAGTTTGATTTTGCATTGAACTCCCTTTGTATATATTTATGTGTGATAATTCTAGTTTCCAATCTGTTAGTAAAATCAAGGAATATAGGAAGTCCAGTGATTTCACCTCGTTATTACTCATATGGCTGTCTAAAACTACTTCACACACGGCAAAAATATTTGACTAAATACTGCATTATTTACTGTTGCTAACACCAAAGCGTACGATGACTTTTTCGCGATATTTCTTTTGAACCACGCCCTTAATTACTCCTTTCTGTAGCATGTTTTTGAACTCCCACAAATTCATTGGGAAATAATAGCCACACTGCTTGTGCATTTCGATTAAACTATTACCATAGTCGCAACAAACCAACGTGGCTGCTGTATTTTCAAAAAATATTCGTTACCTTTCAAATGCACGGCCAATATATTTTTTAAAATGATCATCACAGTTTTTTCGCCGAACAGTTATTCTTTTGAAAATGCATGTATAATTTTACAAAAACCGCATTTCCAAGAAAATTCCGTTCGGTGAAAAAAATGGCATAAATGTGAGCAATTCATCAACATGCTGAGGATGAGTTGCCGCACCCACAAGGAAATAAAATCACCAAGAAAAGTAATCTCTGAGGTAGGTGATGTTTGGGGTTTGAAGTCATGAAAATCTGGCATTTGACCCAGACAATAATTTCTCAAGTAAAGATCAGTATTTTCCCATAAATTTCTTTGGGTACAATCTGTGTATAAATATACACTCAAAATAATCCGCTAACACCTATTAGCAGACGGCGACTGTCATGGTAATAAGTTTGCAAAAAACTTTCTAATGTTGTAACATTTAACAAACAATTAATAGTACGGTACCTTAGTAAATTTATTATCAGGCTTGTAATAAACGCCACTTCGAGGTAACACATATTACCAACTTGGTAATTAGTTTCCTCCATACGGTAACAAACGTGTTACCATGTCATACATATATAGTTACCGCCGGTAATATCGCTTATTACCGAGTTGTCTTGAATATGTGTATACGCGCTCCAATAAAAGATGCCAATTTTAACTTGTCTTTACGGTTGATGTCGTAAAAGAATAAAGTTTAGTCAAAGAAAGCAAGATAAACACTGTAACTTATTTTATATTTAGTTACTTTATTCTCCCCTTATCCTTTTGAACCAAGAAGATAGAAACGTCCAAGTTGTTCCAAACACATACCGTTTAGAATCAGGCTATGTTGGTTCTTAGTGATGAGATAAGGAGTATTAATTTAAAACTATTACATGTTTATTGAAACTAACAAACCAGATTTATTTAGTAGATTGAGTAAACATCTCATGACTAATTGTAAGTATCTAAAGCTAAGTATCTATGAAGGTAAGTGATGTACAAATTGAAAAGTATTAACTCAAATATCAATGCAATATCAATGTAATTAACGAAACTTACTAGACAAATAATACAGTCCATGAATTCCACAGTTACCCGTTTATAGGTATTTAGTTGTACTTAGCAATAATAAAAATAATGTCTCTCTCCAGTCTCCTCCGCAATTTGGGTACATAACGCAAAAACGAGCCAGAAAACAAAAACGAGGAAAATAAACTTAAAAAATATGATGACCAAGAGCGTGACCGAGAAGGCAATCGATGTGAAGAAAATTGGGGACAAGAAAATGATCGATATCAGCGAAAATATGAACCAACACTCCAACCAGGCTGTGCAAAGGGCGATACTCCTCTACAAATTAAATTATTTGATTACTAAATTACTTAATTAGCTTCACAAATTAGACTCTAAAAACTGTGGTACCAATGCTGTTACCGCTGTACTCTATATATGGCTAGTAATAATTTGTAATAATAGTAATAATAATAGTAATAATTTGTTACCGTGCTGGTTACAATTTTTATAAAATGTGGTAATAAATTATTAACACTCGGTAATAAATTATTACCACTTGTTAATAATTTTATTACCATGGTGGTACAGTCATATATAGAGTACAGCGGTAACAGCGTTGTTACCACAGTTTTTAGAGTGTACGTATCATTAATTTTTTATCTGATCTCACGTCTCTTGCTCCTCTGTACAAATTGACGTCTTGGTATGAGATGCAGGTTAACAGCATGATCATCAACATTAGCAGGACAAGGTTTGCATCGACTAAATTGAATTGTAAAACTGAATTAGCCCAGAAATTAAGAAATGTGATAAAAATTACACTCAAAATAATTCGGAGGTGGTATTACCAGGCGGTGAGAATAAATGACTCTACTGCGATGGTAATAAATTTTTTACCGACGAGTCGAAAATTTATTAGCATGTTGGTAATAAATGCAGGTAATATGGATTACCAAATTGGTAATAAATTTACTACCGGCGGTAACAAATTTACTACCGACGGTAACACATCTACTACCGGCGGTAACACATTTACTACCGGCGGTAACACATTTACTACCGACATGTAACAAATTTATTACCATCGCGGTAGAATCATATACCTATAGTCACCACTGGTAATATCACTTATTACCGATTTATGTTGAATGCATTAAATGTAATTCTACCCACCAGAAGCCGATTTGACGAAACTTTCCTCATGAAAGAAGTACCCGTTCAGTTTACTCTGACTTAAATTTCTTTCAGTATCTGGAGGATTAATTATGAGATTTTTCTTATCAGTCTGGTTGGTGGATTGGTCCTCCTTTACATCTGGATTTTGACGGACCGTGATACAAACTATGAGCAGAACGGATAACGCGATGACTGACAGGATGCAGAAGACCTGCATAAAATATTTGCAAAATTGCAAAAAATATTAGTTCATTGATAAATATGAATTGAAACCTGTATACACATACCCCATGCAGAATGGCGATCCATTTTGTGGTTGATTGCACATTTTTGCAGCCAGGTGGTCCTTTCATTTTTATTAGTTATTTTATGTATTTCTTATTTATTAATTTCTTATTTTATTTTACTTTATTTTATTTCTGATCTTATAAGAGAAATAACCACTTGTCAAATATTTCTGGATAAATTCTTCCCCATCATATTTCAGCTGCTGTGTTGTGTTCTTTGTTTGTGTTTGGAGTGAGGCAGGCCAGTGTAGATTGTTGGGCAGCGTATGTAATGTGGACTGGGAAACAAGGTCGGGAACAAGTAACCCGTCCAAATATACGGTAGTTCTGTCACGTAGGCTTATAAAATAGTGAACGGTATGCAGCGCACGTGGATCTTGTTTATTTGTGCCAAAATTCCGCTGTAAGACCTCTCTTTGCCAATACTCTGTGGTTCTACTAAAAAAACCAACATAATTCCTTGACATAGGTCGCATCCTGAAAAAAGACAAATAGTGACGAGTGGATTCCTCGTTGTTGTCTGATGGAATAAAATCAAATCCTAAATAAATTGTTGTCACAAACTTATTAATTTTTTGTGTGGCTATTAACTACTGCATAAACGCAAACTACAAATATGGGACCAAAGTGTGTAGAAAATGATGCATGAGTTAAACAAAGAATGTGTAATTAATTGCATGCCATAAAAAAATTTTGACTTTCATCTTACACCCCTAAATTGCTCAAGATTTATAACGATCAAGCAAAATAAATTTATAGGGTACTGTAATTGTACATAATGTATATTCATAAAATTGGCTTTGCATTGCTAAAAAATAGCATATTATGTGTGTAGTAAATATTTCGCATGAACCATACACACTATCTCAGGTATGGGCCTGATACATACTTGCTGAAATTTCATCGACATATTTCCATAGTTCAACATCTAAGCTTGTTTCATTAAAGTTTTTTTAACCAACTGAAACCGGGTTAAGTATGCATGTAGAAAAAGTAGGGTAGAAATCGTCACCAATAATAAGGGCAGTGCATGCATCTTAATTTAATTTATTGATATGCATGAATATCTCAACATAAAATTAAAGGCATACATATCTGTAAGGACCGCAATGCTTGTCACATATGGAAACAATATTTATTCTTTTCATATTAAACGATTAATAAATACAATTCAACAAAAATAAGCTTGAACACATTTAACACAATCAGTGGCCACTGAAGCTGTAGAGACATTTAGCATTGCAGGATAGGATAGCGTTGTGTTTTTATAACATGGGGAGATTATTAACACAATTATCGAAATAGCGTGGGGAAATTGAAATTGTCCCCACGTCCATCCCCACTCTACCACGGCGACTGGACACACTTAAATTCTTATCGGCCTATACAAAACCCCCACGGTCACCGTACCAAACCCAATTTCGGCCTGATTCGTAAAAAAGTCATCCCTCAATGCACCCACGACATTAACCAATTCCAAATCCACCCCACCCAACGAATCATCTTTATCCCCTTGGTCTAAATCCTGATCAAAAACCTCGACCCTAACATCACTCCAGGAGTAGACCTTATCAACCCTAAATGCCTCCATCCATAAGGGACTCAGTGTATTATTTTTCACACTCGTCCTCCCAATCTCCACCTCATCCACGAACACCTTAACATAAGGATCCGGTAGGGTGTGTGATTCGTCGTCATAAACACCGCTCTTCTTCTTATCATACGCTCCCTTATCCAAGGTAAGCTCTGCCCTGACCACGGTGACCTCCACACTTCCCGCAGGAGAAAGGTGACAGTCGGCCAAATGAGATTTTACAGGATCTAGAGAGTTCACCATTTTCCTAAACTCCACCTCCACCCCGTGTCTCAAGGTTTGGAGGTAGTTCTTTAAAGTATGTGAGAATTTATAGGTTCCATCCTTTTCATGGGTGACGTATCTATCTGGACCGTCCAGAATGCAGAGGAAACCTTGATGTGAGGGTTTTGTTTGATCCAGGTAATTTGTAAAGTGTTCGCTCTCCTTGAAACTGCAGTTTTCCAGGGGATGGAATACTTCGAGAAGGACGTCACTCCTCCTCCTCTTGCCGTACCCTTGTTCCGAGTAGTTGGGACTTTCTGATAGGAAAACGTCGCCAGAGGTGTTTCTATACCGGATGTTTTGAGGGCATGAGTCCACCGTGCAGTTAAGGGCGGCCTGATGGGGGTGGCTGGGAAGGTCGTGATGTCCACTGATAAAGTGACGATCCCACGGTACGACGGAGTTCTTTGGAGAGGGATTTCCTACTTGTGAGGTACAAGATGGATTCGTACTTTTGATAAATTTGATCCAGGAGGTAGGGGAAGGTGGGGATTTGTTGGGTCCAGGTTGGAACGGAGGTGAGGGATGATTTGGAAACCTGAGAGGAAAGGATATCGAAATTTGAAGATTTTTCACGTATATGTATCTTACTTAATTAAATACTTACCTCGCGATATGGATGAGGAATGTGGGTAGAAGACGATAAAACAATGGAGGAGAAGAACACTAATTGTAGAAGAGACATGATGAATCTGCCCAATATGTATTGTCAACCAGGGAATGAAACTGAGTCCAAGAATATTTTAGAGGTTGCATTTTATACAAGAGTAGACGATTGGTTACGTGCAGCTAAATTGTAAGATTTGGAGACTCAAAAGCCGGTTTCAAAGGGTGAATGGCACTCACAGTGGCGGCGGAAGAAGCTGTTGGGACATTAACATTGTAAGATAGGACGGGGCGGGGCTTACAAAACAAGGGCAGATGATTGAGACTTGGTAAACCCGTGGAGAAATTGTCACAATGTTCTCACTCTTCCGCGGCCAATGCAGTGCACTTTGTGTGCATTTCCTTCAACTACATGTGCTACGCCATTTATGGGAGTCTTATAAATAATAATCACAACAACAACAATCAACTTTTGCCTTTGCGTACGTGATCCTTAGTCACGCGTATTGTTGCCGACATGCATGTTCTGTAAAAAGTCGGGATCCCATTCTCTAAGAGGAGGCCAGGCCAACACTTGAGAGATTGGGATGCAGATCAAAAACAGAATTAATTGGGTTACGGATCTTGATCTGTGTGATAATGGGTAAGAGGAAGACATAAAAGTAGTTCCTAAGTCAAGTGTATTAATTTCTGTGGGTTCTTTATACTTCATAATCACATTCCTCGGGAATATTATTAATATCCAAACCCCACAAACTCCCCCCCCCTCCGAGAACAGTATGATACATAGATAAGTACAATGGAGTATGGTCGGGGCATTATTAATAGACCGCTTTTCCCATAAAAAGTGCACACAACAAGCGGATTAATAATAATTCACAAACTATTTGTAACAAGATGCAGGGAGCCATTGAGGTACATAGGGTCACCAGGGGTAAGAGTGCTTACATTTCATCTAACTCACAATGAATATAGTTATAAAGTGTGAACAAACAAACTTCAAAAATTGTAAATTGTGATAAGATATTGTAGTCTGTTTAATATAGTTACGAAGAATTTTTTAAGAATATTCAAATTTGTATGAGTTATTCAAGATTTAGTATGTGCGCACACTTGCCCCAGGATTTTACAGAATATGGGGCAAGTGTGCTTATGTTAAAATGTTCGCCAATATCGATCCAGCGACTACAGCACCCATTCAAAATTGCAGACAAGGTTATTATTAACAATTTTTGTAGCTAAGTTGCAAATTTTAGTGTTTGTGAACACTTATGAAGTCCTATTTTGCGGACAGATTTTCCTTCTTGTCAGTTTTTCTTATTAATTGACTGATCCTTACTGGTCACGGCTGCATAACGCTGCAGGTTAGCTGGGTCGAACTTTTCTTGTGAAATTGCACTTTTTTTAAAAAAACATTATAGCACTTTCTCGGAAACGTTCAAAAATATTTGAAAACTGAAGTTTTGAGACGTGACACCAAATCTCCATTTCTTCATCGTTTTGATGCATTTCGATAGATTTTCCTCGGCTTAAATCGACACAATAAGAGATGAGCCACCATCATTTGAGTCAATAGGTGTGTGCCCCCTTTTTTACGGCTTAATCTTCAATCTTAGGAGGACTAATTGTCTACCCCTCCACAGCCGATGGCGTCCAAACGTTGTCACGTGACAGTTTGATATGGGCCCACTACGTTTGTGAAGTAATTAAACTCAATGGCCGGAAACAATGGAGAAATTAATTAATTTATGAGGGACTAGGGTTTGCTGCGGAGGAGGATGAATGAGTGATTTGCCTCAATTTATATTGCTAGAAGTTTTTACCCAATATTACACAGTGTAGACCAGTGTAGTCTAATGGTCTGCACTCCTCCTTTTGCTTCTAGATGACACGAGTTCGATTCTGGCCAGAGGCAGATTATGTTTAGTTTTTGCACACACTTTTTGCATATAATTTTTTACATATCGTATCAGGAAATTGCAGTAGTAGGACGATATGGGTTATTACCGTTATTTGCATATTATATTTTGTTTATGAATTACTCAAAATAAAATTGATATGCATTTAGGCTCACGTTAAAATTAATATTTTTTATCAAATTCCTTTATTTTTAGTTTGCCAAATATTTTTAACAAAACATTTTAACCAATACACTTAAATATAACTTAAATATAACTTTAAAACTTGAAGGGCGAACTCTCACAAAAATTAAAGTGGTTTGCAATCCATAAGTCAAAAATGCAAAGTCGCTTCCGACAACGAGAACACTTAATAAAACGTGGTTTCGTACAACTTGGCATTTCACAAGTTGCAGCTTCATCTACTGAAAAAGTAAAACAAGCTTGCCTAACATTTAAAAATTCTACTTTCTCTTCTGTCAAGCCACTGGAAAACCAACAATATTGTATCATTGGTTTAAAAATTGGTGCGGATATCATGAAATGCAAAAGTGATTGCAATTTTATGATACCCATTCGTGTAGTCCAATTGTCTTCTTGGTTTAATCCGTTTATATTAATGTGTACTTCCAAGCCAGCTAATATCTCTCTAGCAAGACCCTTTAGCTGTCTGTGGAATGTTGTGTCTAAGGGCTGAGCAAGCGGTGTACACTTTTCTGGAATGATTTTCAAATTAATTTCAGGCATATCATTTTGTTCGCCAAAAAATTTTGTATAAGAATCAATTTTAGTTTGCCCATTCCAGCTATCAAGTATATATAAAAAATCTTTTGTCACATTAGGCACTACCATTTTCTCCACAAAATACTCACTAAGGGACGTAGATAATTTACCGGATGTGCTGCAAGT